AAGGCTCAGGAGCATGGCACTGCACATATGTGACAACACGTGAAATAAGGACGCGTGTGTGCCTTGCACCCTCCAGGCCAATATCGAGCTTCACACGTGTGAACCCACACGGTCACAAGCCATCTCTTGCTTGCTCCTCCACCAGCCTCTGCACAGCCTCCCCTGACCCAAGCTAATGATAATGATGACGGTGACAACTGTGACTGAATGCAGTCTTGCTGCATGCTGGGTGCTGTGCTATAATGTCATCGACATGCCAGATCTGATGGATTCCTCACAACAGCCCTAAGAAACAGGTACTACCTTTAACCCCATTTTACAGACAAGAAACCTGAGGCTCAGGGAGTTTAAGGAATTGCCTGAGGTCATCCAGTTAGTGAGTGGCAGTACCGGGTTCAAATCCAGACAGTCTGGTTCCAAAGCCAATGATTTTTTTTTTTTTAAAGATTATCTTTTTTTTTTTTTTTTTTTAAGATGACCAGTAAGGGGATCTTAACCCTTGACTTGGTGTTGTCAGCACCACGCTCAGCCAGTGAGCGAACCGGCCATCCCTATGTGGGATCCGAACCCGGGGCCTTGGTGTTATTAGCACCGCACTCTCCCGAGTGAGCCACGGGCCGGCCCCAATGCCAATGATTTTAACTACTGTGTACCAGCCCTCGGGCCTTCAGAGAACAGAGGATGAGGGACTCCTTGTCCAAAGGGGCTGCCATGGGAGGAGGAGACTCCCTAACAGCCAAGACCTTGCAGATGCTCACAAGAAGAAAGGTTGCCCTCCCCTCCCCCAACATGCACATCTGAAGAGACGCCACTGTGGCAGAGGGATGGACAAAATGACCCGTGTGCAGCCCTGTCAAACTTGGGCCATTTTTACCTCCTGTCCATAGGCCTTTGCGCTGCCTTAGGACTCCAGACAAGGGGCCTGGTTCTGGGAGCTGGGAGCTGTGGGCCAAAGCCTCTGGCATGGCTGATATTCTCAGGGCTGGTTGGCCTTCAGGGGCCCTGAGCACTACACGTTTACAATGCTCCCTGTATGTAATTCTAATCACAAACTCAAACACGGCTGAACCAAAACATGAGGAAAGAAGGTCGACAGAGGGTACACAAGAAACTCAAACTGGTGTCTCCCTGGGCAGGAAAATGGGGTGGCTGGAGGACAGGGCGGGAGGTACACTTGTTTCTCCCTTACACCTTTCTGAGTGTTATATGATGGGCATGCCTTACCTTTCTAAAAATAAACATATTGGCTGGCAGAGGACAATTTCTTTGAAACTTCTGAAGTGCTGGGAATGCTCTGTGTCTCCATTGAGGTGGTATTTCCATGGGTATGGATGAATGTGAAGTTAACCAGGCTGTACGCTTAATATCTATGCATGTTATGCATGTTATACCTCAATAAAAAGTAAGGAAAAACAAGGTATTTTGAGGGTTTTTGGTTCATGTGGTTGTTTTTGCAGCTGGCTGGTACAAAAATTAAAGTATTAAAGCCCAACAAAAGAGTAATTTTTCCCATGACAACTACTTTATCATTTTTGGAAACATTGAAAATCAAGTTGTTTTCCCTAAAAAAAGGTTTCTCTCTCTCTCTCTCTCTTTTTTTTTTTTTTTAATTTTCTCCTCTCACTGTGCCCTGGGAAATTTGCTTAGTTGGTTTATTGCCTGGTCCAACTTTGAACATTCAGAGCCAAGCCGTGATGCCTGGCACAGAGTAGGTGTCCGGTAAACAAACTCACCAACACACACACACATACACGGTCACAAGTACAGCTTCCTGGTCCTGTACAGATGAGTGTATACACACACACACACACACACACACACAAGCAAACCACTGTGCACACACAGTCCCCCTACATACACCTCATTATCCATGTCCATCTACACACATACCCACATGCCTGGTTCAGTGCAAATCCCCACACGACACACGATCCTGACCACATATGAAGTTCCAGGTCTATGCTCGGCACCGAACACCCACTGCACCCTGGCCCCAAGACACTCTTTCCAGGGCCTAAATCCATTTGGTGGGAAGGAACTAACTAGGCCCCCAGAAACTCCTAACCAACAGAAGAGGCAGAAATTTCTCTGAAGTGTGTCAAGCTAGAAGACAGAACTCAGACAAGATGCATAGCCTCGCTATTACTGGGCAAAAAGATAAACAGTAATAACCGCCCTTACCTTGGCATCCCACTCTGGAGCTTGCAGAGTGCGTGCACGTACACAATCCCATCTGGGCCTCAGACAGCCCCGTGATGTAGGGATTATTCTCCTCTTGTTTTTTTTTAGGGAGGAAACTGGTTCTGGGTGGCTGAGAATAACTCTCAGTAAGTGCCTGATAGTTCAGAAGAGAAAAATATTCCCTTGGGAGTCAGGGAGATGAAGGTAGAGATCAAGAGCAATGGTTACGCAGGAAGGCAAGCAGTCTGGAAGGGCAAACAAGGTGAAATAACCTAAGAAATTATGGAACTTCTCTGAGCCTCAGTATCCCCACCTAATAAATGGGCTTAAGAGTATTTCCCAAATATTGATGTAAAAAGCTAAGTGGAAGGGTTTCAATGCCAACAGCTTTTACATTATATTATTATCCTCATGCCAACCCTATTTAGTAGGTATTAGCCCAATTTTAGAAATAAAAATTGGCTCAGATAAGCAACAGTGAGTAGGAAGGTGGGCAAACCAAGGCTATCTGATGCCAGAACCTTTTGTCTCTTCCACCACCCCAACCACACTGCTATAGAGGCTTCATGGGGCACAGGGGGGCGGGCCCTGGCACAGCCCCTGATGGAAGGTGGAGGGAGCAGGCATTCCCCCAGGGGCAGCATCCGCCAGGGCACAGAGGTGGCATGCACAGAGTCCAGTTGAGAAGTGCCAGGGTGTGGGCAGAGCACTGTGGCTGGAGCAGAGCTGTTCTGAGAGGCTGGGGGTTGCAGAGACTGAGGAACTAAGGAAGGATTCTGCTCCAGGGGAGGACTTGCCAAGCCACCTGGTAGGAAAATGACCATGGCAGGAATATAAAAGGGATCAGGGACCAAACACCTCAGTGAAGGCCCCGCCAGTGGGCTGACAGTGATGAGGTATGCACGGGGGGAAGGGGCAGCTGTGAGTATGAGAAGCAGGAACCAGCAGGACTTGGGGCCAAACAACCTGCAAACTCACCAGCACTCTCCTAGCAGGTTTTCACTTATAACGTCCAAATTCCAACAAGGTCTAATCTGCCCTGGCCCTGCCTCTTCTCCGCTGGTTGTCTCTACTGCAGACACACCATCCTTTTTGTGTTTGCTCCCACATCAGGGCTTTGTACTCGCTGTTTCCTCTGCCCAGGGCTGCTTGACTCGCCACATGGCTGGCTCCTCCTTGTCTTCCAAATGTCACCTCCTCAGGAAGCCCTCCTTGACCCCTCTGGCTAGCAACGTCACCAGCATACCTAGTCACTTGCTAGCACATGAAGCTGTTTCATTTTCTGCATTGCACTTCTGAGCATCTGAAATTATCCTATTTCTTGGGTTATCTGTTCAGTCTGTCGCTTCCCACTGGAATATAAGCTCCACGGGAGCGGGGACCATATCTTTCTCCTTTACTCCAGGATCACCAGCATCTTAAACAGTACTGGGTACATCACAGATGCTCAACATGTAGCTGTTGAGTGAATGAAGCCGGAAAGGGGAAGTGAAGGAAAACCGGACAGACTGGGAATGTGAGTGCTTTCTCAGAGGTGCCTTCCAGAGGCTTGGAGATGATGTGAGCCACCCAGGGGACAGGTCCCAGGCAGGAGGCAGAAGCAGAGAACCAGAGGCCAGAGGTAGAAATGCAAGGGTGGGAACAGATACACATCTGTCAGGGAAGAAGTGATAAAGAAAAAGGGGGCACAGGGGCATGAATGCACCTGGGGATCCTCACACTTTGGGGGGAGGAGAAAGTAGTAGTAAGAGCAGGCCCAGGTGGGGGACAGGGGCAGGTCGCACTCACGGTCACACGCCTATTGGGACTGAGCATGAACAACGCTCCTCCCTCCCAAGCTAACAGGAGACTGTGGGACCCAGGTGTTGCAGGGGACTTACCCATGGGACAGCATCTCCCTGAAGGGCTGGGGGAGTCACAGGAAGAGGGCCACAGGGGGTGGGGCAGTGGCCCAGGCCAGGTGAGGAAGAACGCTCAGAACTCAGCCACTTCCTCCTCGATCCAGCCCACCTGGCCAGTGGCACTGCTAGGACGAGTCCCCGGAATAATGGTCTCTGGGAAAAGGACAGGTGGGGAGAAACTGGCCCACGATCGCCCACAGGAGCCTGCTTCCTGCAGCCGCACTCGGCAGCCCACTCCAGCAGGCCCGCCAGCCTGTCTGCCCACGGCCTCCTTCCCTTGGGAGGGGAGGAGCCACCTGGAGCTCCACCTGGAGCTCAAGCTGACAGCGGCAGGAGGGCGGGTAGGGGCAGAGACCAGGAAGTAACCCTGGCTAAGGGAACACCCACCAGTGGAGGGCCCTACGGGTCCACAAAAACAAAGGGGCCTAAGGAAAAGCCCCGGAAGCCCAGCTCCTCCAACAAGGAGGCGCTGCCCGTGCAGGCCCACCCACCCAGGGTGTTGAGGGGCTGGTCCAGCCTCTCACCCTGCCCTGGGGAAGGGGAGGAACCTTAGGCCCTGACTGGAGCAGGGTCGGGGGCAGCAGTGAGTACAGGAAGGATCTGGACAGAGGAATGAGGCAGCTTGGAATGGCAGAGGCAATCTGCGGGCAAGAGATGGAGGCTGTCAGTCTTACAAAAGACGGGGCCGGCCCGGTGGCGCACTCGGTAAAGTGCAGCACTTGGGAGCGTGGTGGCGCTCCGGCCGAGGGTTCGGATCCCATATACAGACCGGTCCGCTCACTGGTTGAGCACGGTGCGGGCGCGACACCGAAGGTTGCGATCCCGTTGCTGGTCGCGGTAGGGGCACGACACTGAGGGTTGCGATCCCGTTACCGGTCAAGACAAAAAGGAAAAAAAAAAAAAGACTGACAACGAGGCTAAGTCACAGGCACGTTTATTATCTTCTGGAACACCAAGGTCTTCCCTTCCCCAGCAGTGGCACAGAGGAGGGCCAACTCAGGAGGCGGCCACACTGCCACCAGAAGCTGGCCCGTGCGGCGGCAGTGTCATGGGCGGCAGGAACAGAGCCTTCAGCTTGCCTGACAGGCTGGCGATCTCAGGATCCTGGGCTTCGTAGGACTTGACCAAACGGGCAAACTTAAGGACACCTGCAAAAGGAAGTGGAGAGTCAATCCATACTACTGGGGACCAGAATGCCCAAGATAGCTGGAGGCTTTGGGCAAGAGTTACTGGCTGCTCCCCCTCTGACCAGGTAGCTCTCTGCAAAACAAGACACATGCAGGACTCTGTCCTGTGTGTTTGGGATCAACCACTTCCTGGTCTACACTGGGCACAACCGGATGGGATGCAGTGAATGAAAATACCCTAAAGTAGTGTGCTTCTTACTCTCAGGTGACTCGGTTTAGCAGTTTAGTCACAGAACCCCAAGTGTGAACACCCACGAGATCCCGGGGCTATAACCTGAACACGCGAGGGCTATGGGGCAGCTGGCCTGAATCAGTAAACCCCTAGGGGAACACCGCGACCTCACCATGGAAATATAAACGCCAACTTCCAGAGGTTATCTAAACACCTCGGAGGGGCTGCAGAATCGCGCAGACATCTCTCTAAAAGTTAACAGAACAGGGTTCAAAGTCCAGTTCTGCTGTGACCCCGGGCACTTACTTTACTTTTAGAGTCTGTTCCTTCATCACGAAATGAAGTAATAAATAGTGAGATTACAGGTACTCGCAAAATGCACAAAGTTCATTGTAGACCGTGGGCTCAGGTTGTGGCTGCCGCCGTGTGGCGATGAGGGGGATGACATCTTAGGGGCCCACCCATCCAGCACCCACTCGCCAGTCCACACTCCACCAGTGTCCTGCGTCCGACCCACCTTCCCCGTCGCAGCTGAAGCCATAGGCTTTGATAACCTCCTGCTGGATCTGCGTGGCCACGGGCAGCACGAATTGCAGCATCTTGCCCATGTCGTTGCACGCATTGTCCCGAGCCTCGTCCATGCGCACGGCGTTCTCTGGAGCCGAGAAAGCCTGGATCACCTCCGCCAAGACCACTGCGCGCCACAGGCATCCCAGGGAGGCGACCCGGGGTCAGCGCCGGAGCACGGCCGGCGGGCCCAGGGAAGAGGACAGAGAATTAGTGGACTGAGGTCGTAGCCCCGAATCCCTCGTTCTTGGGGGCGAGGAGCCCACTTAAAAGAGAACGAGGGATGGTGCCCGGCGCCCCGCGCCCCTGCTTCCCAGCGGTTGTAGGGTGCCACGTCTCTCGCCCCGTCTCCTCCGGCCGCATCTTCCCCCGGCGGGCGCGCAACCTATGCCGTGACTAGGACGCTTCTCACCCTTGGCCTGCTCGGCGCTGAGGGCCGCAGGTTGGGCCGAGGCGGCCGCCATAAGAAAACCAGAGCTGCACACGCAGCGGAGATAACGCAAAGGGCAAGAGAAACCAGCCACCTCCCAGAACGGCTCCCACGGCCGCTGGGGGAGAAGAAGAAGCAGCGTTGGCGGCAGCCGGAAGCTCCCGGACGTGCGTGTGCTCCGCAAGCCCGCGAGCTCAGACGGAAAGCACGTAAGGCGGGCCCCTAGCGCACGCGGGAGGAAGAAGCCACAGCCGCACGGCCGACTAGCAAGAACCTCTGCCGTTCAGAACAAGCAACAAGTAGGAGGGCTTTCCGGAAAGAACCGGAAAACCTACTAGACAAATTCAAAAAGAGCTGCAACACTGCAGAACCCTGCCCTGGAGAGAACACGGGGGACGCACGAACTCCGGTATCGGTGAGGGTGAGCTGACACTGAAGTCTCTAGCTCCTTCTAATGCGTACGCAACGAGGGACACTGTAGCTTTCAGTAGGAAAAATAGTGTTCTAAGGAACTTCCATTCATTTCTAGAGTTTGTGAACGCTTTATTACAGCCTATGCAAATGAACCCGGTACCGATTGGCTGAGAACGTAGCCAGTCACAGCCCTTTCGTTGCCAAGAACGAGGACAGCGATTGGCAGCAATAAAAGCCTGGAGCGACAGCCGCGCTCACGCTCTCCTAAAATGGCTTTGTGGAGGGATGGGCGATGCCGCGGGATGTCCTATTTCCCTTCCAGGCGTTTGAGGTTGTCACCCACACCCTCCTCACACTGTAGGGTAGTCACGGCTGCCGGGTGCTGACCACACTGATCTATCGAAATTACCCCCGCCCCACCCCGCTTTTCGGACTGCTCCACGGAAAGGATCCAAGACTCCGTAGCCCTCGTTCCGGGGGCCTCTGGCGGCTCCCAGCAGTGGGACCAGTAGCAGAAGCTCCAAGGTCTGGGCAGCTTCCTAGTCCAGGCCATGGCAGAGGCGGTCCTGTCTCAGGCCTCCAGTTTCTTGACTTCCCAGCTTTGCGGGGCGGGAGGAAACTAGCACCGTGCTACCCCCTCCAGCAGGGCCAAGGTTCCTGACCCTCCCCAGATCCCCTCTCCAACTCTCTAGGGGCCTGCATCCAGTTCCTTAAGAAGGCCCCGTCCCTTCCTGCTTCCCTGCCAGTCTCTAGAGATCTAGGCACCGCTGTAGAGATCCCACCCCCAGCCCCCACAAAGAACCAGTCACAGCCATGTTCCGGGGACTTGTGAGGATGTTTTTGTTTGGATGGTTTTGGTTGGGATGTTTTTTAAAGAGCGTCATATAGATATTTATATATATAAATTATTAATGTGGGGCAGGGGCAAAGGGCATACATCGCAGAGGGGGCGCGCACACAGGGATTGGGGAGGGGCAGGGGCGGCACACGATGCTACGCAAAAACAGCCACATCTAACAGATGAAATAATCACACCAACGGGGTGGGGGACGGGCGGCGGCCACCAGGGTTGGGCATGGAGGAGGAAGAGGAAAGCAGGGGGACAAGAGGGCCCTGGTCCAAAATGCCCTGGTGTGCATTTTGTCCCCACTCTCGCACACCACGAGGGCCCTGGCCTCTGTCTGTCCCTTCCTCCCTCCCTCTGCCCAGCTGTGGAGACCCTGCAACTGAGCAGCACCCTCTCCTCGGATTCTGGGTGGCAGGCCCTGGGTGGCGGGCCGGAAGGGGGGCCTCCAAGGTCCAGACGCAGGAGCCATGGGTGTTCTCTTGATCGCGGGTTCTACAGTGGCTTGTCGCTTTCCTTCTTCAGGTGACTAGGGAAGGGGCAGTGCATAGCAGAGAGATGAGAGACTGAGATCGACCCTGACCTTGCCCCTCTCACAGATGGGGGTGGGGGAGGAAAGGTTCCCTCCAATGAGCCTGGCACCTGGCTGTACCATGCCCACCACCCATCCCAGGCTGGCTAAGCCCACGGCCCCTTACTCCTGGCCTAGGACACCTTGTAGTACCTGTAGTAGTCCTCCTGGGCGGGGAGCGGCACGCTGTGTAGCGGGTGATGGGCGTGCAGCCACTGCTGCTGTTCCAGCGCCAAGCGCTGCAGCTCGGCGGACTGTGCGTGCATGGCCTGCAGCTGATGAGCAGCTGACATCGGGGCAGAGAGGGAGGCCGGCAGGTCCCGGTAGGGGGCAGCTGTGAGCAGGAAGGCGGGGGTGGGGGGGGGGGGGGGTGACAGACATGACTTGGGTAGTGAGGACCTACTCTGTGCCCCTCTCACAGATGGGGGTGGGGGAGGAAAGGTTCCCTCCAATGAGCCTGGCACCTGGCTGTACCATGCCCACCACCCATCCCAGGCTGGCTAAGCCCACGGCCCCTTACTCCTGGCCTAGGACACCTTGTAGTACCTGTAGTAGTCCTCCTGGGCGGGGAGCGGCACGCTGTGTAGCGGGTGATGGGCGTGCAGCCACTGCTGCTGTTCCAGCGCCAAGCGCTGCAGCTCGGCGGACTGTGCGTGCATGGCCTGCAGCTGATGAGCAGCTGACATCGGGGCAGAGAGGGAGGCCGGCAGGTCCCGGTAGGGGGCAGCTGTGAGCAGGAAGGCGGGGGTGGGGGGGTGGGGGGGTGACAGACATGACTTGGGTAGTGAGTACCTACTCTGGGCCAGACGACTGTCAGCCACCTTTACGTGCAGAAGAAAGATACTAAAAAGCTAAGTAACATAGCCAGTCCTGCAAGTTGCCAAGAGTGGAATTAGGATTCAAACCTCTCAGCTTGGCACTAAAACCTGTGCCTCTCTTGGGCAGCACCTCAGCTCTCCTATTCCCATTCTCAGCTCTTCTAGGCATCTCGTCATCCCTCCCCAAAACCAATTAGGCCCATACCACCACCCAAATTCCCCCTTTCTGCCCTCCTCTCATAAGAGCTTCCCCACTCCCAATCTCCATCCTTACCAAAGAGCTGGTGACGAAGAACTTCGTTCTCGTGCAGAGGGTGAGGAAGAAGGGGGTTAGGAAGGGTCCCAGCCGGGTAGGGGATCCGGGTAAGGTGAGACCCTGAGGCCAGGGGGTCAATGAGAGGGTGCACCGAGGCAGAGGCTGGAGGGCAGAGAAGATGAAGATGTCACCAGAAGGCAGGTCTAGGGAAAACCATGCATTTGGGTGAAGGGGTCCAAGTCCAGGAAGAGAGATGGACAGTCAAACACAAGGAGATCCAAAGTGGAATGAAGGAAGAACAGAAGAACTAGAGGCCTAAGGGGTGGACAGGAAGAGACCCTACTGGAGTAGGGACATATGGACGACAGAGGACGAGAGATTGCAGTTGCTAATGGGATCTGAGAGAGAGAGAGAGGCAGACTCCTTCGAGGAGATGGAAGATGACAGAAGTTTAGGAAATGAAACAGGAAGAGAGAAAAGAGTAAGAAGGAGAAAGCCCAAGGAACCTGGAATGAACAGGATTGTAAGGCTAGGTTGGGTAAGGCTCTGGACAATAAGAAATACGATGAAAGGATGGTATCATCACCCATAACACCCAAGACCAAAGCCGCAGGGCCCTTTCTAGAACGTTACAGATCAAGGGATGGGGAGGAACACAAAAGACCTCCAGCTGGGAGGAAAGAAGAGAATGGCAAGAAACAAGAACTGAATCCACTCTGGAACAAGACAACCGGTTATGTGAAGGGCTTTGGGAAACGGGCTGTGAGTACAGCAAGGTTGTGTTCCTTCAAAGGGCTCCAGCTTGGGCCTCTATTAGGGGTGGAGTGCAGAGAGGATTGGAGTGCGGGGAATACAGGCTCTGAAGCGAGGGTAGGGCCTGAAGAGACAAGGCTGGGGGAAAGTCAGGGAGGCAAAGATCAGGGCAGCAACTTAGGAACAAGAGGAGGAAGTCTTGGCTGGAGGAAAAGAAGAGCCCAATCATGGCAGAGGGAAAGGTGGCCCCAAAGGGTCAAGGTGAGGAGTAGGGATCTTACCTGCATGGATGGCATCCTGCTGGTGCAGGTGCAGGTGAGAGTGGATGTGGGAGTGCTGGTGGTGATGGGGGGTCACGTTGAGCATCTGCAGCCGTGCCAGCGGGTCATTGCCCAGGGCCGCCACCCTTTCTGCGTGCTGCCTCTCAGCTGCCAGCCGCTCAGCATAGGACATGTCAGGCCGCAGAGCTGGCCCAGCTGCCAGCGCTAGACGTTCTCGATCCAGAGGCCCCAGACTCGGATGAAAGGGGAAAGGGTGCAGGCCAGGTGGGCCAGGCTGCAGAGCCAAGCCCCCATGTCTGGGAAAGGGATCCAAGCCTGGCCCAGGGACCCCGTGTAGGGGTTCCAGCTCACTAGGCTTCACCTCGAAGCCAGGCTTGAGGCGGTCACGAAGGTCTCGTTCACGGGCTTCCCGCTCCCTCTCCCGGGCAGCTGGGTCACTGCTATATAGGGCTGGAACATTGTAACCCAGGAGCCCTGGGTCCACTGCCCCCAGGGGCACGTAGAATGGATGGTTGCGATTGCCAGGAGACATGACATGAGGCCGGGCGTATTCACTGAGAGTGCGCAGGGCTGGAGTGTCAGGACCCAGGTAGGGAGGCACTGTGGCCACAGCACTGCCCGGCTCAAATGGAGGGCGATGGGGCACTGGGCCCAGAGATGGACACTCCACTGGAGCACGGCCCTCCTGAGCCAACTTCTGTGGGGTACAGGAAGAAGTGGAGTCAAAAGGGCACTTATGAAAAGAGGTGGCTGGTTCCAAACTGCCCATTTGTCTCAGCACCTGACTGCCCAAATACCTCACCCCATTGGAACTCTGCCTACCAAACCTTCCTGCCGCCGCTCCCGCCTCCCTTACCCTTCCGACGATCCACGGGTAGTCAGTCCCCCCTGAGCAAGCCCTCCCCCAACCCAGGAATGCAAAGATCAGTCCCGCCGGAATCCTTTGGGCTGCATTTCCTGGGCTGCAGTGGTTCCTCCACGCCGACAGGTGGCGGAGTGATCCCCGCGCCGCGCCACGGGGGGTGAGAGGCGGCGGCGCACGTCGTGACGCACTCACCACGCTTCGTTCCAGCTCGCGCTCCTTCTCGCGTTCGCGCTCCTTCTCGCGTTCCCGCTCGCGCTCGCGCTCTTTTTCTTCACGCGCGCGCTGCTCGGCCTCGCGTCGCACCTTTTCCACCAGGTCGGCGCGTTTCTTGGCCAGCTTGGAGCCCTCCAGCGGCACGAAGTACAAGTCGCTACGCGCGCACGAGTTAAAGCCGCGGTCCAGGTGTTTGTTGAACCTGCGGCCGCGAAGGCAGCGTGCTCAGCCCCCGCGGGCTGGGAGCTGCCGCGCACCTCAGGGGCCATAAGGGCGAGGCGAGGGCAGCGGACGGCGTTTGGTGTACGTTTAAAAAGCACGAACGCAAGGCCCCTCCCGTGCCTACTCCCCCTCTTCATCATCCCCCTTTTCAGGCCCACCTGCACCCCACCCTGCCCGCTCACCTGGCAGACTGACTGGCATGACTGGGCACGTCTACCACCTTGGGAGGGGGCGAAGGGCTGCGGGCCGGGGGCACCGGGCTCTCGGGGGTCTCATATTCCTCAGCTGGCTCCTGTTTGATCTGAGTGGCACTCAGAGGTGGCCCTGAGGCAGGGGCCGCAGGTGGTGGAGGCAGAGATGACAGGCCTGTCGGCCCCGCAGGTGGCAGGGGTCCAGTACCCACGGTGGGCGAGCCAGGCTTGAAGGTTCCGGGACCTGCAGGTGGCGAGGCGCCTCGATAGCCCGGTGGGGTACCCGTTCGGAAGGAGGGCGGCGACCCCGGCTTGTATCCGGGTGGGGTGGCTGTCTTGTAGGAACCCGGGGACGGGGCCCTCTTTCCATATGGTGGGGAGGCAGTTTTATAGCCTGCTGGCGAGGAAGCGACGGTGGCAATGACCGTGGAAAGGGTAGCCGAGGAGGTGGTGACTGGAGGCACCGGTGGGAAGGGGTAGGGCGCCCCTTGGGGTCCCTGGGAGGGGGAAGGGTGTGAACATGGGTAGGACCCTTGAGAGGAGGAAGAGTTGGAAGAAGAGACTTGGGGGCCATTGGGGCCTGCTTGGCTGTAGGACACCTGGCTGTGAGGTGGAGGCAGGTGTGCTGGCCCTGGTGGGTAGGGCCTCAGAGACCCCAGGGAGGGAGACATGGCATAAGGGTGTGCATGGTGGGAGCTACTGCTCTCCAGGGGGTGGGGATATGCTCCAGGTGGAGGGGGCCCAGAGCTTCCATGATGCTGCTGCTGCTGCTGCTGCTGCTGGTGGTGATGGTGATGTGTTGGAGCTGATGGGTGGGCAGTGGATTGGCCCCCAGTAGGAGGGAAGGGGCCTGGATGGGCACTGCTGTTGGCTAAGAGGCGGCCATATGGAGGAGGTGCGGGGGGACCCTGGCTCCACACGGCCTGGGATGGGAGAGAAGGCTGAGTATACTTGGGTGGCTGATTGGAGACAGAGAGGCTTGTTGGGGGAGGGAAGGAGTGAGGATAACTGGGCAATGCCTGGGAAGCTGGGTACTGGGAGACAGAGGAAGAGGAAGAACTGGAAGAGGAGGCTGCTGCAGAGCTACTACTAGAGGATGAATAAGGATACCTCATTGGGGGGGCTGGGGCAGAAGAGGAAGCAGGGGGCAGAGGGTGGGGTGAGGGAGCCAGAGTTGGGCCCTTCTCTGGGCCAGGAGGAAGTCCACCCATACCCTGCCCCACAGCATGAGGAGAAGACAGATGCCCAGGTAGTGGCTGGGCTCCCAGGCCAGGAGGAGAAGTTGATGCATTGTTGAGGGGTCTCAGGGCAGGTGGGGGAGGCAGGTTTGGTGTCACATGGGGGAAGGTAGCTGGTGGTGGAGCAGAGGGTAGGTTCCCACCACCCACTGGAGTGTTAGGTGGCTTTGTTGGGGGAGCACCAGCCCCAGAGCTTGACATTGAAATGGGGGTAGTAGGTGGGGGGTGCTGCTTACCCCCACTAGGAGCCCCCACTGAAGAGGCAGCCCCTCCCCCCTTGGGACCCAATGGGGGTCCAGACAAAACTCCACCAGCTCCCCCAGGGTAGAGCTGTGGGTGAGGGGGAGGGGCCCCAGGAGGAGCCTGGAACATTCGAGATGTGGGGGGCTCCATGGGAGCATGATATCCAGTGGGTGTCACAGAAGGATGGGGTTCAAAGCCAGGCTCTGGCTGTCGGGGGGTGCTATCTGGTGGTGGAGGGGAGGGAGGAAAGAGTGGAGGTGGGTGGTAGGGCCGGGCTGGGCCCTGGGACAGGCCAGAAGACGAGTCGGAGTCATTCTCCACACTTCCAGGACTGTAGATGCTGGGGGACGTGCTGCGGTTGTCCTGGTCAATATCCCTAGGGTCACTGCTGCCGTCATCATTGAGGCTCCGCCCATCCAAACTATCCAGATCTGAGGGAGACTGTGGCCGAGGGAGTTCCTGCTGCAGAAAAGGGAGGGCCATTTCTTCCTCTTTTCCTTTCCCATTTCCCCAAGTTTGGGGGCCTCTCTAGCATAAGATCATTTTCCCCTCACAGCAAATCATTGTACTGTGATGTGTGAGTACTCTTGCTCAAGCCCACCTCTTGCCATCTGGGCATTACCCCACTCTCGCCACATTCTGAGCTGCTCCCTAGCAGCCAGTGTAGGTTCCCTCCTTGTAGACTCCACTTCTTCCTTAAGTGTCCATCTCACACAGCTTCTCTCTATCCACAGCTGACTCCAAATCCCTGTCTCCCACCATCTCATATCCACCCTCTTCTTATCTCATTTACCCCTTTAACTAACCATCCCCCAAACCCTTGATTCTCAAAAAGCTCACTTGTGCATTTTCCTTATGATTTATTTGTTCCTTTTAGCAAGAATTCTCACCCAGAGGCTAGAATCCCCCAACTCTTCCAATCCCTTTGGCCCTGCCTAGTCATCTAGTGATCTGGCCAAAGCCCTAGAGATTTGTCTGACATAGATAGGACTGCTGTAATAAGCACTAGGCAGTGACTTTTCTGTTATATTCCAGGAGAGATCAAGGTAGGGATAGTGAGCAAAAGAAAGTTTGGGAAAAGAATGGTCAGAAAATGGGTCAGGATGGCTGCAAGGGTCTCCCACCTCAGTTTTGGTCTTTTTTGGTGCATTTGTCTCCTCACTTTCACTCTCTGAGATCTCGTCACTCCGGCCCTGCTTGCTGACCTTTGGGGTGGAGGCTTCCTCTATGCGGGCCTTCTGTTAGAAAGAGAAAATGCCTGTTTTCTACCTCCCAAGCTCCACTATTACCCTCTGCCAGACAGGAAGTTCCCCCACAACACACACCCTCAACCCCAGTGCCCGGGCATCCTGTGGGAGGACCTGAGGACAGAATACCTTGGCTGTCTGCCGGGACTTCTCAGCTTTGCCATCACTGCTGGACGTGCTGACACCTCCAGGGGAGGCCCGGCCCCTCGATCTCAGTTCTTCCCGGGGTCCAGGGGCCTCTTTCTTCCGTCCACTCCTCATTGACATCTGAGGGAGGAGCAAAGAGGCAGGTAATGTTTTTTTACACTGCACCTAACCTGACAATGCACGTTATTTCTATTCTGCCTCTCTAGGCCCTTCCTCCTAGCTTCCCTGCCCCTAATCTTTCATGTCTCTCATAGCTATTACTCACTGAGTCTTTATTCTGTCTTGTCTTCATTCTTCAAGCTGTGGAGGCCCCATTCTCCTCTGCCTGGGCAGCTGAATACAGAAACTTCTCTGCTCCGCCCCAAGTTCCCCACAGCTGTGGCCTGGGAAGCAGGAAGCAGGATCTCCACGTTTCCAGTGTAGGCACCTGGAACCTGCCGGATCTGTTTTCCGTGAAACCTGTTAGAAAGAGACCATCAGAGTCTCCAGTTGGAGAACAGAGTCTGAAGGGGACACTACCGTGCTTGTGCTGAATAAGAGGCCAGCCCTAAGCCTTTGGGACAAATGTACTCACACCACAAGACATTGCTGGCTTGTCCCATGGGCTGCCTCAGCTATCTAAAAGTGGGGGAGATTCTGCTCACAATATGATCTCTTTCATCACTGGGAAAGGCAGAAAATCCAGATGAACCTATGAGCCCCAATCCAGGAGATCATGCTGTTTTACCCTTCATGATCCTTAAAGAATATTTATGTACACGCAAATTCCACAGAGCCTCACAAAGGAGCATAAAGAAATGAAGCTGAAGTATTAATGTGTATTGAGTACCTTCTTTATGTCAAGCCCTTTATACACGATTTCATTTAATATTTACAACCAACCCTAAAATCTAGGTGTTTTTATTATTATTCTCATTATATAGGTGAGAGAACTGAGGCTCAAAGATTGTGATTGTGACTTGCCCAGCCTCACACAGTGAAGACCAGTGACAGAACCAGAATCACACCCACATCTCTCTGATTTCAAAGCCCACGCTCTTCTGTACTTTGCTACTTTCTCCTCAGAAGTTAGTGGGGAGAGGCCGGCCCGAGGCTCACTCGGTAGAGTGCGGTGCTGATGACACCAAGGCCACGGGTTCGGATCCTATATAGGGATGGCCGGTTTGCTCACTGGCTGAGCGTGGTGCTGACAACACCAAGCCAAGGGTTGAGATCCCCTTACCGGTTATCTTTTTAAAAAAAAAAAAAGAAGTTAGTGGGGAGAATTCTCAGACGGCCTAGATCAGTCACAGAGATATGAAAGGAATCTTTTTTCACATCAGAGTAGACAGAAGAGGGTCCCATTCCACAATACAAAGGAGTGCAGTCCTACCAATCCCAAGACCAAACCTAGGTATCCCCCAAATTGAAGAACATCATTTTTGAGAGCCTCTTAAAGACCCCTTCTCTAGTAGTTGAGTTCCCTAAGGTTAGAGGAAAAGCCAGGGTTCTCACGTTAACAACCAAAGACAAAATATCAGTGAGTGCACAATTCACATTTACAAATATTTAAGCCTCTCCTTCCACTTGGCATAGACAGAAATGTACATCTCACAGCGTATCCATCTATATCTACCTACTTTTCAATAGGTATCTTTATATATTTGTATTTCTGTAGCCAGCTATTTTCATTGGCACTTGTTTGTATTTCTAGCTAAGTGTCAAGTGTCTCCCTGTTACTGAACATAAGATCTTTTGAGAGCAAAAACAGTATTTTCTTACTATTTTTTCTTCCTTTCTGTATCGTCCACTGATGTCATGTGTATATGGGTCTTCTTTTCTTGTTATTGACCTTTAAACCCACTAACTTCAGGAGGTCTTTCTTGTTGAATTAAGTGCTGCTAGCCTCAGTGTGAGCAGACTAAGCTTACCCACCTATTCTGAGTTAGAAGGCCTGCTAGGTAAATGGCATTTCCACATTCTATGGCATATTTTTACCAAGTAATACAGAGTACTTACTTCTCACTCACCCCCACAAAACCGTACTGAGGCAGGCAGTGAGGGGTCAGTCTAACCTTCCAGGAAACAGTTTACTTAGAGTCACAAAATAGCTGGGGCAGACCCCCGGTTCTCCTGAACTTTCAGCTGATGCTCTGCCCAGTAGACTAGTCATTTTTCTAGTCTACTGGTTTTTTCTCAAAAAAACAAAAAACCCACATTTTTGAGCTCTTGTGTAGATTGGTTTTAAAATACTGTCAACCAAAAAAAAGCCCAAAGAACAAAACCCAACATAACAAAAGGGGAAAACAATTTTAACAAAAGCACAACCAAGGTGACTATTTGTGACTGGTGTGTCTTTGCCAGCCCTCCCAGAGTAGGGTGCCCATCTCTCCTCCCCATCACAGGATGTGCTCACCAAGTCAATTAAAGCTAGGGGATCCAAAAGGCCAGAGAAATAAAGGAATGAAGAACAGAGTAACCATAGCATCCCCCTTCTTACTTTTTTAATCAGCTGAAATCTGATAAAATTAGCAATGAGTAGCTTTGAAGGAGAAAAGCTAAAAAAAAAGGGGGGGGTAGATAATTCTGGGGATAGGGAGTGGCAGAGGGCGGGAAAAGGTTGGGACTGGGTTGTACATATGTTTCTGAACCTGGGTCAGAAACATGTTTAGCACCAATGAGGGAGCTATACTCAGTCTTGCCTTAGCAGGCAGTCACTATAACTAATATTTATAGGGCACCTACTATGTACCTGCAATACACTAAACACATTCATCTTCATCACCTTACTGCAAAAGGAAAATGATTAAGACCAGACTGGGGAAGTGGAAAAGTGAGAAATAGGAAAAGAGCTCCTAAGTAAGAACAGGAAAAGAAACTATAGGAGAAATATGAGAAGGATTATCAGAGGGAATGCAACCTCTGGGAAAGGCTTGCAGGTGAATTTCAGGATCATTGTCCCAACCCCCACCATCATTCCTGACCCGCCAGACTAACAAACCAGTCCAAAGTGACTCCTAGATAACAATGCAGCCCAAACACACGGAAAACAATGACTGGCCAAAGCCTTCTTAAAACCCAGGTCTGTCAGAGGGGCCTCACAAATCATTTTGTCTATAACCGCTTCATCTTACAATGAGAATAAGCTCAAAGAAAGAGAAGTGACTTGCCCAAGGTCACAGTTAAGAGGCACTGCCGAGACTGGACCCAGGTCTCCTAGCTCCCAGTCCAGAACATTTCCACTGCTCTAGGCTGTTTCATAGCCCTCTCCCCTGGGCCACTCTCACCTGGGATGGGCATGGAGAGCTCAGCCATTCCTACGAGGTCAGGGAAATGGAAGGTCAAAAGTTAGTTGGGGAGGCCGGCCCGTGGCTCACTCGGTAGAGTGCGGTGCTGATAACACCAAGGCCACGGGTTCGGATCCTACATAGGGATGGCCGGTTCACTCACTGGCTGAGCGTGGTGCTGACAACACCAAGCCAAGGGTTGAGATCCCCTTACCGGTCATCTTTAAAAAAAAAAAAAAAAAAAAAAAAGTTAGTTGGGAGAAAGAATCACTGCAAAGATTGTCTGGGAAAGAGAAAAAGGAAGACTCAAAGAGGAATCCAACTTTAAGATAATGGGAGAATATCAGTGCAAAAAAAAAAAGACTACTGTGTACAGAAAATAATGAGGTAGAGGCCAGAACGAACTGCTAAAAGATGGTACAACTTGAACAGGGGCATTTTCATCCTCCCACTATGCCTAGGTGGAGGGACTTGGAAAAACACCTGTGACCTGCAAGTAACATGTCTACTCGTTCCAACAGACTGCTAGATGGAAGGAGGTGCACCCCCAGGGGAAACTCTTATCCACCAGCAGCAACCAGAAACGTCCTCCAGAACCCAGCCAAGAGTCTCAAGGACATAGCCACGGGCTGAGGTCCAATCAATATTCTGATCCCCCACCTATTGGACATCCCACTGGGTCACTGCCATGGCAACAAAATGGCGAAGACACCACCCCAGGGGTCCATCTGGCAGCCACCAGCCCCCTCCCCCCAGTTGCCAAAGCTACTCCTACCCTCCTATATCACCCTAAGGGAAGGAAGGGAGCTTAAGAGTACCTACCCAGTAGAAACAAGCCCATGTACACAAGATCTCTGAGCTCAAAGCAGTAATGAAGGTCTTCCCTATGGAGACTACAGCTACGGGGGCAGTGGATGCTCTAGGGAATTGAGGGTGGAGGTGAGAGCTTGTTTGAAGTGCCTACAAGGCTGCCCAATTCTCTCTTTTACATCCTCCCAGAAAACCTTACTCCCTAACTGTCCCTTCAGTTCCTGTCTTTCTCATTAGTTTTAGGAGGACCCATGCTACCGGGCCCCAATGTCCCCTCTCCAAGAACTAGCTACTTCTGAGATTGGGAAAAGAGGGTCAGAGGTGACCAGGGCTTGGGGAAAGAAAACCGAGTCAAAAAGACATGGCCTTCCCACTTCCACCCCAGAAAATCTCTGGCTCTTCTCAAAGGTGGACCACTCCTTGCCTCTCGGGGGCCTCTGCCTCCGTTTCCCCAGGTTTGAGTCCCCTCCCTCATCAGCTACAACCCCTCTCTTTCCACTTACCACACCCCTTTTCCGTTTCCCACTTCTCTTCTATTCCTAACATCCCCAACCTAGAACCCGGGTTCTGGGCCTTTAGGGCTTTTTCTGGAGCCTTCATGCCCCACCTCGCTGCCATCTCTCCAATCCATTCTGCCTTAGCTCCGAAGCCCCCTCACTGCACCCCCCGTTTTTCTCCCGCCATCCCTCCGCCTCGGTATTCCTCCTCTTTTCGGTCCCCAGTTCCCGGCTACCCTCTTGCCCCATCAGCCCTCCTCCTGAGACCCTCCCTCCGACCCCCACCCCACCTTTCTGATCCTCCGGGTACCCTGGCCCCCATGCCTCCTCGGAGCCAGCGCCACCTCCTGAGCCCCCAGCCTCAGGCCAGGCATAGCCCGCAGTGGGGGGGACCGGATTGGGAAAATAACAAATGGAGGCGGCGGCGGCGGGAGGGGGAACTGGGAGGAGTGGGGGTGGGGAGCCGCAGGCCGGAACCCGGGCGGGCCGGAACCCCGGGGGTCTCCGAGCCCGGACGGCAGCAGATCTTACCTGGTGGTAGCTCGGGACGGCTGGCTGGCTGGCGAACAGCTTGGCTCAGTTTGAAGTCACTGTCAATATTGAGGTTTCTCCATTT